ATATATTGGCTACCCAATCATACTTTAGTTGATCCTACCCAACATGATATCTACCCCATACTTTGTCATTCACAAAAAATCATAACCACATGATATCTAATTCGCATGTTTGTTCGAGAAAAATAAACCTAACCGCATGATTTCTAGTTCGTATACATTTATTCAAAAAGCAAAATTAAATGACTCAAAAAGCTTTTCCTTGTGTACCCTCCTCACGGGACTCTTAAGGTTCGGGTTAGGCTCGACCTAAATTCGGGCTCTATGTTCACTATATGCTGGGTTCGGTTCTAAAGTAATAGGTTCTCGAATTGTCCTTGTCGGTGCCCCCTTGGGCTGCCGAACCCTCAATCCTAGCCCATCATAGGCTTTAGGGGATCGAGTTCAATTTCGAGGGAACACACCTCCTTATGTCCATGCGGAGGTGATTACCATCACGATGACCATAAGGCGTGAACTCCAGGAGTGATCCACTATCCCATGCGGAGGTGAAAACCACACGAGGGCATAGTCTCTCACTCCTACTTAAACAGGACGGAGCGGGGTTTTAGCTCATGTTATGATAATGCAACTGTGCAGTGTGTGAGGAAAAGCGAAAAAACAAATAATAAAAACACTCAAAATCAATTCCCAAAATACACAATTAATCTGAAACCATTAACAAACAGATCAGTACAACTATATATTGGTTAATCATATTATAAACAAAAAATATTAAAACCAAATAAGGGATCAAAAACCAAATTAAAACAAATTTATAGCTTTCAATTGCAAAGACACATAATTAATCAACTATTGGCCTGACTCTTTAAAAAAATTATCCCCAGTGGAGTCGCCAAGCTGTCGAAACGATTTTTTTCTTTAAAAGGTGAAATTTTAAAAACCACATTAATTATTAATTTACCTCTTTCAATTGATTTTTAATTTAAAAACAAATGCGATTTAAAAAACCTCTCGTTTCGAAAAATTTTAGATTTCCTTTATGATAAAAAAAATGGTTCGAAGAGTCGCCACCAATCCTTGATTAGGGTGTGATTGGGCACCCAAAAATGTTTTATCATTTTAAATAAAAATTACTTTTAATTAAAACAACAAATTGAGGTCTGCGTTACCAAAAAATGAGTTCGGGAGTCGGTTACGTGTGGGGAAGGATTAGCACCCCCACAACGCCCTAAATCGGTACCTAGTCGATTAATTAATGTCTTTGCAATGAACTTTAGAAATTCGAACTTAATTTGACTTTTGATCCCATAAAACAAATATGTAAATTTGAAAACATTCAAAAGCACTCAAATAAATTAAATTGAAATTACCAAGTCGTTTTAGAAAGATAAAGAATGTTCGATTATTTACAAATATCGAGACCAGATCTTAAAAGCTATAACAACCTTTTTCTCGATAAATTTAAATAAACGAACATTTCCTTTTCTTTCGTTCCCAAATTTTTGGCGAATCAATTTTTTTTGTTTTACTTTCGGGATACACTTTTAATTTAAAATAGTCAAAACGACCCTCTAATCAGTTAAGACAGGCCACTCAAGACAATTTTAAATTAAAATGGTATTACCCTTAGTCTGATTATGTAATAGGTCGAGTTATGCACATGAGGGTATCATACAAATTATGCAAAAATGTCATGCCAAAATCAATTAAACAAAATTAAAAATAGCATACAACGTGAAATACAAAAAATTATATACATATATTTAAAATTAAAAATTATAACCATGCATATTAACCTATAATGTACAAATGTGAGTCAAATATAAAAAATAAATATGGCATACTAAACTATAAATTTTAAAAAATATATATATCCCTATTAAAGCAATGACTAAATTTAAACATACGTAAAATTAAACATCCTGACTAAAAATTTAAACAAAGAATTAAATAAAAACGAACATAAATATAAGGAACTTAACCCTAAATAACTCAAAATAGTAACTAAAACAAAAACTGGAAAATATCTAAGTTGAGACAAATTTAAAAAAATTCAAAAATCAAGCCCTATAGGTAACTAAATTATAAAAAACGTTATACTTAGGAGGATTTAAAGATAATTTACACCTAAAGTTATAATGACTAGACCCTAATTTACCCAAAACATATAATAATATATAACCTAACTTAAAAAACCTAAATTATTTGTTAAAACTAAAGAACATGGCCACTTCCAGTACCCTTCTCCACTTTCCCTTTCTTCCACGCAAAGCATTGCCTCACCCACGCTCAACTTGCTCTCTTAAACGAACTGGTAAGGAATCTAACCTTGACATGAACAGCCTAAAGCTCCGGTGAACCATTCCCAATGGCGAGAACTACTCTTTTCAAAGGTAAACAACCACTCCCTCCCTTCTATTTTATTTTAATTTTGTTAAACTAAATCTCGTCTTTTTTCCTTGACAATGGAACCACACAAAGAACAAATAGAGTCAACAAGACCCCATTTATGTTCAAGCAGTCTAGGTAAATCCTAATCCCTTGTGAAAAATATCTTAATAGACTACTTTACACTTTAACAACAGCAATTGCCGAAACACTTTATGAATCATAAAAATGCACAGCATCAGTCGGAAGGCAAAAAATAAACACTAAGAGATTGACATTAAGATTGGAAACAAGATGAAGAATTCATAACTAATATATAAGGTACCTGATAAACCAGCAACATGTTTATCAAATTTGTATGTGGGAGCAAAAGTAATAACTGCTTCCCGCATTCCCTGGAAAATATTTCCAGCTTCCATCTCAGCTCGGAGTTGATCCCTTTCTCTAAGCCAATCAAAGCATCTTTGAGATATAAAATCTCTAGCTTCATCGTATGACACATCATCAAGTCGATAATTAAAATCGCCAAGAAATACAACCATGTCTGCCTCAGATAATTCAGGCGTTCCTTCAACAGACTGGGTACCCATAGCATTAGATCCACGAACCATTTGAACAGCTGACGAAGCGCCAGCTGCAATAGAAAGGACCAATGGCAAGCTAGATCTCTATTGCTTTCTTTATTTTTGAATCGTGAGATTACACTATGATTCCTTTTCGCATCCCCTTTACACTGTGAAATTGCCGAAATTAATAAGGTTTTTTTGCTCGTAGTCTCCTCTCTTCTCAAATGCTTTTTCTTTTCAAATTTTTCGTTGGTCTCCTCTTTTTCTAATCTCTGTTGGTGGTCCCTTTTTTTCTAATCTCTTTTTTTCTTTTCCTTTTGCTTTGTAACCTCTCCCCCTTGTTTCCAGTGGTTGATCGTGGCTTATAGTGGTTTCTAGGAGTTAAAAAAAACCGACCCCTCTTGATAATGACTTACTAACCCTTCTTATAACTGTCTTTGATTTCCATGTTGGGCTTCTAATTGGTTTGGGCACGTGCTAGATTCTCCAGGGCTCCAACTTAATCCCGGATAAACCGAGTATCTACAATATTAATTTCAGGTTTTTAATTTAAAATAAAATTTAAAAAAAATATAAATGCAATAATTGTCACTTAACATACTTTTTTTAATGGTAGTTACGGCCTAAGCAACTAAATTGATAATGTTTATAACATTAGACACCTAAATTGATAAAAAAAATATTAGACACCTAAATATGAAAAAATATATAATTTAAACACTTTTTTATATATTTAGCCTAAAAATAATATATAACTGAATGTCACAAAATTAATATCTAGGAATTAAATTTTAAATTTTGGAATAATACATATAACGTATCATGTTGAAACAAAAAAAAAAGGTAAACTATTTTTGTTCAATTTTGATCACTGGTTTTTAAAAAATTTTGATTTTATGTTATCGATTTGTAATGTTTTGATCATTGTGACGTTAAATGTTGTTAATTTAGTGATGTTGTATGTTAGTTAAAGAGGCTAATTTTTAATTTGAATCTTGAACTTAAGATAAAATATTAATTTGACCTTAAATTTTAGTTAAAATATCATTTTGACTCTGAAAGTTTGGATAAAATATCAATTTAGTCATTGTATTCGACCAAAATTCCCCATCATCGGTCAACACTTGTCATTGTCGTTGATCACCACTGGTCACAATTGATCGTCGATGTCGACATTCGTTGGATCCAAAAATTTCAATTCACTCATTTCAACTTATTGAAAGTGAATTCGATATATGTTTCATTGAAAAATGTCTCAAACTTCACAAATCTAAGCTAAAACTCTTTGGCACGAACCAAATTATTTATGTGGTTAGAGGAATAGTTGTTATTCCTAAAGGTCCCGAGCACCGGCAACTACAACATGATAATTAAATGTTCATTGTCAAATAGTTGAGATTATTTAGAACATATGCTACTTTGTAACCACCTTAGATTAATAATAATAAAAAACCCTAAAACTCTTTGACTTATTTTAAAAAGTAAATATTTCGAGAGATACTTTAATTCAATTGGCCAGTCCATTAATTTTACATGCCATTAGGTATATATAACCTATAACAAAGAAAAGTAAGAAATCTTCAAAAACAAGTGTTTTCAGTTTATATATATATATATAAAATAACATTATCTCAAATATCTCGATAACTATCAACCATTTAATATTAAGCGTTTATATTCCTGGTATGCTAGGTATTCGAATCCGATACCTCAAAAGATAATAATAATTCTTTTACCACTGAAATGATTTGATTCGTGCATATACAAAAAGTTTAAATACGAAAGAAGACCAGAACATAAGGGTTTCCGTTGGGTATAATATATGCATTCTTTGGCCCATTAAAAAAGCTGAAATGATTAAATTAAAATTTAAGAATTAAATTAATATTATATTTAAAACTCAAGGATTAAATTAATATATTATCTAAATTTTAAGGGTCAAATCAAAATTCAACCCTTTTTACTAACGCATTACGTTATACATTGACGATATGGATGGCCAAAACATTATTATTTTTAGTGATTAAATAGTGATTAAATAGTGAATAAAAATGAAACGAAAGTGAACATTTTGTAGTTTACCCAAAATCAAAAGGGAGTTACCATGACGATACGCTGTCGTTCAGTCACAAAGTTCAGCTTAGGGATTTTAACAGAATGCTAAAGCTCTAAACTTGAAATTGTGATTATGAAAATGTCGAGTTTTGCGGGTAATATGAGCTACAAAATCTCCGTCACCCTTCAGTTTCGTGCTTTCTCAATTCCCTGGTAAGCTCTCCCACTCCAAAATTTGGGTTTTTCTTTTCCTATTTTCTGTTTTGTTTCCTAGAAAAGTGGAAGTTAATTGCGTGATTCATATTAAAAAAAAAAACAATAAACAGGCCTTGAGATTTTGGGTTATTGAAAGCTATGATTTTATGCTATTGTTCTAAAGCTTTGATTTCTCAGGGTGAATGGAAACAAGGGAATATTATGTTTGAAGGATAGGGAATATAGTTCATCGGTTCCAGTAAGGTATATTCCTAAGAAACCTTTGGAAACTGAAGAACCCGAAATTTCTTCCCATTTAAAGGGTTTGAGAAAGAATGAATCTCATAAATACTCTGCTTCGAATGCATTTGGAAGAAAGTTTACAAATAATAGCAGTATTGTTGATAAAAAGTTGCAAACACGAAATGGAATGTTCAAGAAAAATGCATTATATGATGATGTTAAACAAGGTATGCTGAAGTTTTACATATTGTAGCATGTAATGCTTGTGGATTGCTATTGGAATTGATGGTTTATGGGACTTGTGTATGCGAGCATCCATAAAATTGTTGGTTTCAAACTCATGTTATGGATGTAATGGTTTTTTTAATCTTATGTGTGTCCGTTTACAGAGTTTTAGTCTGGTAATGTAGTTTACATGACTCGTGTATGAAATTAATGGTTTACAAGATTTGTGCATGCGAACATAGATAAAATTGTTGGGTTTGAAGTCATAGCATTGTGGATGTAATGATTCTGTTGGATCATGTTTATGTCCATTGATAGAAGCTTACACCTTTTAGATGGAAACATTTTCATGTTACCAACTTTAGTCTTCCTATTATTTCCAGATATGTGCAAAATTGTGATATAACATGGTTTAAACCATTTATCACACACGCTGATTTGGAAAAGTTAAACTGCTTTAATTTGTAGATCATGAAGTAACACAGAATCCTGTAGATGTGGTTGAGGAGATGCCTCAAGGACAGGGTAATAGTGGAAAGAATTCGTTACAAGTTTGCAAGGGAATCTTAGATGCTGAGAAGTCAGCAATTGAGTTACTTGCGGCAAGGTTAACATATTACTATCCCTAGCTCTGTATTTGTTTCATATTTATTGGAAATGAAATTCACGTATTATTTCAGTATGGTGCTTATTTGTTTCACTAGTTATTCGCTGAATGCAATCTTCGTTTTCTGCAGAGCATATACTGCAGTTGAACTGAGAAAGAAACTGCTTGCGAAGAGATTCCCTCCGGATATTGTTGAGACAGTGATTAGGGATTTCCACAATAGGTGTGTGACTGTTTTTAGGGAACAATATTTGGTTCCATACGTAAATTGATTTTGCGATTATAGCCTATTCGGTTATTTTAGCTTTTGCTACATTATTTTTGGCATTCAATTTTATTATGTTAAACAACTATTTGACTATTTTGCTCTATTGTAGAGGGTTTATCAATGATAGCTTGTATGCGGAAGCATTTTCTCGATCTAGATGGTCTTCATCAACCTGGGGACCAAGAAGAATCAAGCAGGTAAGCATTCTTTTTCTCAAAATTAAAATTGTTTTGTCAAAGTTCAAAAGCATGCATCTTAAAGTCATTCCATCTTAATAACTGGTGGGGCTTTGTTTTCTTGGTAGTAGTGAATTTCCTGAAAGTGGTTAAGAAATTCAAAGTTATTATGAGATCTTTTTATCCAATTAAAAAGAGAGCAATTACTATCTGAATATGTAAATAAATAAAATTCTAGTGGAGAAAGATGACTACTGTTAGATTTACACTTGGAATATGAGTGTTAAATTTTGTCCTTTATGTTTGTTAACAATATTTAGCTTCTGGCTTCTATTTGTAATTTAATAGAGAAAACAAACGGAAAGGGCGAAGGAAAAGAAGTAGCATGGTTTGTTGATTTCTAGTATCTGATGTTTTCAAGCAACAAATTTTAATTCTTGGTTTATGGAAATGTTGAATCAGGCATTGTTCAAGAAGGGAATAAGCGAAGCTGATGCAGAAACTGCATTAAAACTCGTGTTTGAGGGTCAGGTTGACGACTCTAACGATGATCAGGAAACCCGGATTGGTTTGTCAAAGCTTTCGATGGATCACCTATTAGTTCAGGCCTCAAAGCAATGGTTTCGAGGTCATGATGTCCCCAAAGAGACACGCAAATCAAGGATTGTACGGTGGCTTCAGTATCGCGGTTTCAACTGGGGTGTTATTGGTTTCATTGTAAAGAAATTGGAATCTCGGTATCCTCCTTAAAGCACCAAAGAGGATGGTTTGGCAGTACAAAGGACAATTCCAGGTTTTGGCTTTAGATTAGGTTTAATTATCCTAATCCGAGTTTCAAAATTCATGTCAGAGAGAAATAATGATAGGAATTGCTTCTTTGAAATGTCAACCTTAGTAAACAGCTCATCTTAGCTCCTACCTCTACCAAACTTCATGTTGCCTTAACCTTCCTATAGTGACCCTTCTATTGTCCAAATGCGGTGAGGTTGATTTTTTATCTATATTGCTCCGAGTCTTCATTTCTCTTGAAGCATCCGTATTTGACTCTCATGTTTAACTCATACTTTGATCCTAATTTCTAAACCCTAAACTTGTGTCTAAGTGCTTGGAAACTCCGAAAATTTGAACATTTTCATGTCAAAGACATACTCGTATCCGACACTCGCACTTTCTAGTACCATCTTGAGCCTTGACATTGATTGGATCCACCAAATTTTCCTTTTACGGCTTGTGTCATGTGTGACGCTAATTTTCCAAGGCATTCTGTACGGTAGAAAACCTAGTAAATGAAGCTATTTTTAGCATGCGCACATGTATGTGCTTATAGAGGAATTCTTGATTAAAAACTGTTAAGACTTTCACCATTTGGTGGATGTGTTGTTTCTATCTGTTGTTTTTTAATGATCTTGAGACAACATCAAATATCCAGACAATGACAGTAGCCTCTGCTAGTGGAGTTTGCATTATCCTTATGTATGTAGATCTCATTTCTTTTGCAGATTGGAGCACTATGATTATGGAACACTTATTTTGTTTTTCAATTTATATTCAAGTATACTCGTCTTGCTATCGACATTTCTTTGGTGTTTATCTGAAGATTTGTATTTAATATATTTCTCCAAATACTTGAAAACTTGGGAAAATTTTGAATATATCTATGTTCGATATTTATATCGGAGTACAGGTCCTAATAATGTAGATTGCTACTGGCATGTGCTGCAGATTAGGACATATAGAGTGTTCCAAACCTAGGCCAGTTTTACCTTTGGGAAGGCTTCTTCTAACATTGCTGGAAGAAAGAAATGTCTTTGTTAGACAGCACATGGACATGTGATGTAGGGAACATGGGACCACATGATCACTGCTGTTAAGCTAGGTTTTGAGACACGGAATCTCTTTCTTGTAATAAATTCTAATTGTATAAATCCAACACTAACATTGTTCCAGCATCAACTACAACGACTCAATCCTAAAGCCTATAGTTGTCGATTGATAATATGCATACATTGTAGACGTAGTTGCTCGAATCCGAACAACATTCTCTTTTATCATTGAATTTAATAAGTTATAGTTTTTTAAATAAAAAATAAAAAGCTGAATTGATTGTCATAATTCATAAGTAATCAAAACTATTCTGTTTGAATTAGTTTTTTTCATTATTACTGCAAGCTAGAATACCAAATATAGCAGAAATTACAACTCGAACTAATCTTCAATGCTGAAGCACGCGTGGATTCTTCAATGAACTATGAACAGGTTACGTACTATCACATAGATACAACTTGAAACCTCTCCCTTCATAACTGACTCGAATCTTCGGAGAAAGCAAACGAGCAGTCTGTTGATTCTTGCTGCACCACTATTCTGGACGGCAGCGATGGTGACGACCGAGGGGCTTTTAAGGTTCCCTTTGAAACGTTAGTTTCGGACCTTAAGGTTTCGAGATGACGAATTTCTTTGAGCATAGCAACAACATCTTTCATTATTGGACGATCTTCAGGTCGGGTGCTAACACAGAGGAATGACACAGCTAATGTTTGTAGCATTTCATGCATAGCAGGGTCAGCCCTACCTCTAAGCTTTGGGTCCAGAATTTCACTTGGGTCTCCCTTGCTAGCCAAATGGTCCCGAACCCATTGAACCAAGTTTGCACCACCTGGAAAAGTTGGGTCTAATGGGTGTCTTCCGGTTAGAATCTCTAAAAGGACTATACCGAAACTGTAGACATCACTTTTCTCTGTGATAGGTTGCATTGTCGCGTGTTCTGAGAGTAACGATGGTATATTATAAATTATTAGCGAATTTAACTTGAATAAAATAAAAAAATTGAAAATAATTAAACCCTGAAAAGGAAAGTAGCAATACCTGGAGCCATGTATCCATAAGAACCAGCTAGGTGTGATCTTGGACTTGATTTGGAAACTTTATCATCATCATTATCATCATTGCTATTCAAAACTCTGGCTAACCCGAAGTCAGCAAGGTAAGGCTGATAACAAGGACCCAATAAGACATTCATGGCTTTGACATCTCCATGCAAGATTGCGGGAACGCAATCATGGTGCAAGTAAGCAAGGGCATGTGCTACACCGAGCACGACGTCGTAACGAGTCTCCCAGTCGGCTCCTCCCTTACCGCCACCATGAATGAGAGAACTCAAGCTTCCGTTCGGAAGATAATTGTAAAACAGTATCTTCAATTTCAAGTTCGAACCCCAACCGAGAAGCCTAACAATGTTCCTATGTCTGATTGAGCCTAGTGTCTCGATTTCAGAAATGAATGCACCAGACTCTTCGGATGACCACATCTTCTTCACTGCTAGTGTTTCACCATTTGGAATCGTTACCCTGTATACAACCCCAGAGCTCCCGGTGCCAATCACGTTAGCTGAATTTAAGTTGTTGACTATGTCATCGAACGAGAAGTCGAGTTTCTGATACAGGGTCACTTCCCACGTATGATCTTCCATAAGGCCACTGTCGGAAATTCGGGCACGGGTTAACATGTAGATCGCGAGCAGTACTAGAATAACACTGGTAGTTATAAGGATGGACATTGCTAGCTTCACTATTGGTTTATCACGCCTTGAATGTTCAAGATCAGCCGAAGTTACAACTCCGTTGGAGATGTAGAGGTCTTTGTTTGATTCAAGGTCACTCAATGGGAGTTTTCGGAAAAATGGGGACTTCGGCAACTCACCTGAGAACTCATTGAAGGAGACATTAAGGGAAACAAGGTTTTGAAGACTTGCAAGGACATCTAACTTGCCAGAGAATTTGTTGTGGGAGAGGTCAAGTACTGCTAGCTTGGTAAGGCCAGAGAACTCAGATGGGATTTTACCGGAAAATCGATTGCAGCTAAGGTTTAGAGAGATTTCGAGTGCCGGAATCTGGCCTAGTTCCTTCGGTATTTCACCAGAAAAACCATTGTCACCCAGGTTTAACAACTGGAGCTTATTACAAAACAATATCTCAGATGGAACTTGCCCGGAAAGTTGATTCTTTCCCAAGTTAAGCTTAGTCAATTCACTCAAGGACCCAATTGTACGACTCAGTTGGCCTGTAAGGCTGTTGTCTGAAATGTCAACATACTGTAGGCTTGTAGGAAGAGTATCTGGCAATGATCCAAAGAGTCTATTTGAATGGAGATCAAGAAACTCAAGGCTTTGAAATTCGGATATCGATGGAGGAATTCCTCCGACGAGACGATTATTGCTTAAGTCGACAAAGTTCAAGCCTTTCAGATTTCCAATCTCTGATGGAATTGTTCCTGCAAGCCTGTTGCCATTTAATCTCAACCTATACAAACTGGTGCAGTTTCCGATTTCCTGCGGAATAAATCCGGATAAATCATTGGAAAGTAGCAGTAACTTGGTGAGATTTGTCAAGCCAAAAATGTCTTTCGGGATTGAACCCGAGAGGCTGTTATAGGACAAATCAAGTGCCTCGAGCTCCTGGCACTGAGCAAGACTGCCTGGAATGCTTCCGGACAGCTTATTTTGCCAGGCAAAGAATATAGTCAAGCTCTTTAGCTTGCCTATGTCGATCGGAATCTCATCGGAGAGGGCGTTGTTGTCGAGTTCGAGATGAGTCAACTTTGAGCAGTTCGAAATTTCAGATGGAATTGTACCTGACAACTGATTAACACTCAGTTGAAGCTCTTGAAACTTTGAAAGCTTCCCAATGCTTCTTGGTATGCTACCTGTTAGAAGATTCTCCGATAAATCGACCATGGTTAGCTCCCTGCAGTTTCCGAGCTCATCCGGTATAGTACCGACCAAGCTGTTCTGCCACAATAACAGACTCTGAAGCTTGCTGAGCCGCCCAACTTGCCTTGGAATCTGACCGGATATGGAATTCTGATACAAGTAAAGATTTTGCAGCTCACTGCAATTACCAATCTCTTCAGGGATAGAGCCTGATAACAAAGATGTGTAAATGGCTATGGTTTGAACCCTTTTCAGCATCCCGATCGACGAAGGAATATTTCCGGAAACACCGGTCTCGGCCAGGCCTAACATCAACAAGTTGGTGCAGTTTCCAATCTCCCATGGCAGCTCACCTTTAAGATTTTTATTCCCACCGGCTCGAAAAACTTCAAGTTTTCTCAATTCCCCAATGCTCTTTGGTATTTCACCGCTCAGTTGATTGTCAAACAGTGTCAAATAAACAAGGCCGGAAAGGTTTCCGATTCCCTGCGGGATTTCACCTTCAAGAAAGTTGGTATTGAGGGCCAAAGTCTGCAGTTTTCTCAGCCTGCAAATTTCCATGGGGATTTCACCTGAGAGCAAATTGCCACTAAGGTCAACAAACTTCAGCTCATGGTAATCCCCGAATTCTCCAGGAATCACGCCACTGAGATTGTTCGATGAAAGCACAAGAGTCTTCAAGGACTTGAGAAACTGGAAATTTGAAGGCAGCGAGCCTTGCAAATCCATTGATTTCAAGCTTATCTCCACAACCTCCATTTCCGAGCTGCAACGAACCCCGAACCAGTTGCATGGTGTAGGGTCCAATGAATTCCAAGATTTTAATGCGTCTCTGGTGGTGTTTAAGCTGTTCTTCCATGCTAATAAAGCTTGGCCTTGGTCATCAATGGAGTAACAATGGTGGAAGAAGAGAGAGGTAAATGAAACAAGGAAGGTGAAAGAGAAGATATAGGAAGGAAACAAGAGGTTCCTTAGAGTTGCAGGCATTGGTGCTTGGAGAAGAAAACAGGTGATCCGTATTGGGATTGTTGAGGGTGGAACACCATGGTTTTGTTTATAGAACAAAAAGCTGAAGATCTGCGATCCAAGAGCTCTTTCTTTTTCTATCATTATTGTAATAGCTGGAGTTGTTAATTAATATATGTTGTTTTCTATATTCCTCCTACTCTTTATTTTTCTTGAAATTCTCGTGTTTACAGAGATAAATATGTAATTTTATATTAAAAGATAAATTTATAAATTTTAAAAAATTAAACCTATAAAACTTTAAAATATAAAAATAAATTATTAATTAGAATTATTAAAAAATTAAAGTATATATAAATTTATAATTTAAGAGATAAATTTCTCCTGTTTTAATTATTTTATCGTCTCTAAATCTAAACACCCTTTTAAAATATAATTTGAACTAATAAATTTTAATTGTATTTTCAAACAAACTACAATAAGGGAGCAAACTATTAAAAGACTATCGACATGCACAAATTAAAGGCAAACATCGTGATAAAATGTATATAAATCTAATTCGAGAGTTCAAAATAGAAAATGTCAATAGAATATTAAATATACGTCATCTTGATCAGTAGTAGCAATAATAAATTCAACCCTAAAAAACAACCAATTAACTGTTTAAAAAGATCAAAACTATGTCGAAAAGAAGAAAAAACGTATCATAAAATAAAATTATTAAAAATAAAAAAATAAAATACGAGATAAAAATAAGTAAAGGAAGATAATTAATTACAATTATTTGAATGACATGTTATAATATTTATAAAAATAACTATTCTTATTCTTGAAAAAGGAAGTTGGAAACAACAGCAATAATGTGTAGTGTAATTAGACAGTCCAAACATAAAGTGGTCCACCAAATTTATGTGGTCAGGCTGAGAAATGATAAAAAAAAATTATTATCGATTTTGTTATTATTTAAATAATAAAATTAATAAAAAATTATTAAAAATATTATTATTTTTATCAATTTTATTATTATTGGGTGTTTTATCGGTTTTGTTATTTTTCTATCGGTTTTGTTATTGTTCGGTACTTTATTGAAAATATTAAAAAAATTGATATTTTAGGTATAAATAATAATATTTTAGGTAATTTTTTTATCGATTTTACTATTTAAATAATAATAAAATCGATAACATCTTTTTTTTTAATTATATATTAAAAGTGTCGCACTGTAAAACTTTCTGTTCAGATTGAGTACCCAAACATGTGTTTTGTTTCTCCGTAGAATTCAAATCGCTTTGCAATGATTTTTAAGTACAATTTTTTTTTTTCAGACAACATATGTATTTATGAGCTTTAGATTGATGTTTTTTCAGTTACTCGAACACTAACTAAACATTTTCTTTTTCGAATAAAAGGTCATGTTTCAATTGTCATTTTATGTTATTTAATCACTTTGTTTAATTTGGATACGTCTGATTTTCAATAAACCAATCTAACCTCCCACAACTATTATTATTATTTAAATACAATTAAGATCATAATGAAATTGGATCTAAATCACATTTGTGGCACTTTGACTTGATGGTATGAGATCCATCGCTTCACATGACGAAGTTGATCCCCCATGAAACCAAAGTTAGTAGGCAACAAATGTGTCATGTGATTTGGTCTAACATTGGTGTTTTCTATTACATTGGCTTTTGCTTTGTCTTTTAGATTAACTTATTGATATAGTTATATTTTATATTGTATTTGTATTATTTAATTGTTTAAAATTATACATGATGATGCAGTGGACCCTAAATGAAATAGTGGAGACAGACAAAGGGTAGTGATCAAACTCGACTTTTAGCCAATTTGTACTTAGTCGCACGTGCTATTGTGGATAAATCTTTCACCATTACCATACGAGTATTAAATTCTATAACCCTAATCAAACACTATAATGATGAATCTAAAACACCCCTTCATTTTGGGCAATAAATAGACGGAGATCCCAAAAGGAAGCTCCATCTAATCAAACCAAGATAAGTTCCATTATCTTTATGGGTAAAATATACCGAGTGTCATTAAATTTTAGATTGTATTTCAATTTAGTTATTAAAATTTAGAACATTTCAATTTTAATATTAAATTTTAGTTTTAGATTTAATCATGACACTGAACCACTAAATCCTTAATAATACGATGATATGGTCGTTTCTTCCTCGTGAACTTTAGTCTGTATATTAGTTTTGTCACTAAATTTAAATGTCAACAACTCAAAAACTCTAAAAAGTAATAAACTTCCAAAATCCTAAAATGATAAGTTTTATGTCTGATTTCACGAGTTTTAAAGAGATTTTGGAGGTAGATGAGATTAATTTATCAGTATCTAGGGTGATCATAAAAGATGCTGGAGAATGTGATTTCTGACGGTAATTAAAAATACGTGAAATGCTTCACTTTGATGAAGAAAAAGATGGGTTGAAATAAAAAAATATTATTTTACTTCAATGTCAGCACTACATTAACACTAAACTATCACATTATTGGATTGTTAATGGTTGAACAGTGTAATACTTTAATGGAATCTAGAACTAAAATTTAATATTAAAATAAAATGAAATAAAAGTTTAATGATAAAATCAATACGAATCATAATAATAAGTGACATTTAGGGCACTTTATCCATTCTTTATTTTCCAAAAGAAAAGCCTTAAATCGTTTATTCTCACTTGATTTTGTCTAATGCCATACGATTTATGGGTTTAAGTTTCCTCGTAATCATTAATCATGAGAAACAAAACATTAAAACCCTTGGGTGTTTGCCAAATTATTCAAGTTCCACTCGTTAACTAGTTGTTATCAAAGGCTTCTAGTCGACTACCAATAACTAGTTGGTCTAATACAATTAGACACTAGGTCTCTTAAGTAAGATTAAGGGTTTGAATAATGGCGTGTGCGAATGGAGCAAATTGGGTTGGAAGGGTCACCCTCACCTCTGTTGTACCTAATCTGGATTAGTCGGTCAATAGATCGGATACTAGTGATTAATTTTTTTTAAAAAAAAAAACTTCTAGTCGGCTGATTTAATTTTCCTGTTTTTCCGTAACTTTTCTTTTTATATTTTTCTAGTAAAAGCTTAGTTTGGGTCATCAATCAACTAATATCAATCTTTTTTATTTGTATATGTACACCAACGGTCGAGTTTTTAAATTTCATTAATAAAATTAAGAAAAATAATAATCTTTTAATATTAATTAAAAACATAAGCGGTTTTTAATTTCATTTGTATAATTAAATAATTTTACTGCTAATTTATCAAATAATTATTATTAAATTTATATTTTATGGGTGAGTGAGGCTGGACTGCCCAAACATGAATTAAAGTTACTCTTTTCCTCCATTGTTTTGGGTCGTTTTGATTACGTTGTGTTAATGGACCCCTGGGATGCCAATAATTACAGTTATAAAATGCAATAATAATTAATAAATAAAGAAAACAAAGGTTTGGTCATTGCATAAGCTCCATGTTTAAAGGTCAAATCAGAGTATTGCTTTCCCTAATTTCAGGATTTGGGATCCCTACATATCTTCTTCCTAATTGTGGGTTTAAAGTGAGGTTTGAAGCTCCATTTTAGTCAATTTTTGTGTGCTGATGGGTAAACCTTTGTTGTTTATCAGATATTTATAAAAATATTAATTGGCTTTAAATTGTTGGCTGGAAAATAAGTAGCATGGTCTCATTAAAAATTCTTTATAACTGAATTAAATTAAAGTTAATTAGAGACAGCGGAAGGAGAAAAGAGTGTCTGACATTTTATTAAGAAATCAACAAGTACAGTACAGTAACCATATTAACCAATACATAGTAGCTGCTCTATTACAACGAGACCTTATGGGAATTGACCCTGTATAGATCAGCCACAGAGAAATAAAACTGACGCACGTATCCCAAACAGACAAAGGATACCAGAGCCACATCAAATTCCATCACCCTATGGAAGGTAATAAAAAGCAACACGGAACTAGATTTGTTAATGAATGCGTACAGACCTTTCAATACCCTCTTTTGCCAAAGAGTGCCTTGATGTTCTGCAGTCGATATATGTCAAATAAACCACCAGTCTTTAGGAAACTGTCATTCAATCTATTTACCGAAAGGGAAGTACAACGGAGTCGCCTTAGAAGGATCCTTAATCCAGTCGATAGCCACCTGACAATCGCTTTGGATAATGAGGCGATACTTGAGATTCCAATCGGAAACTAGGAAGTAAACAATATTGAACTACCAAGAGTTCGGCTAGCAAAGCCGTCCCTGACCCGGCTGGATTTGAGAATTCCATCAGTCTTATCATCACCGTTCCCAAGTCACACAGCCCAATACATCCATTATAGGCCCCATCTACAGAAAATGATAGAAATCCAGGCTTCCAAGTAATCACTGGACAGCCCCTTTTGCTTTAATAAACCTGCAGGCTGCTGCAGCCAACTATCGAGGGGTCCGAAATTAAGTTATCCAAGGGTGCTTGACTTTAAACCACCAGGTCTTCCGAGTTATTGGCTGAAAGGTCATCTTATCACAATTCAAAACTTTCTTATATCTTTCCCCTCACACGACTAATTTCATTGTTTCAAGAAATTAAATAAATTGATATTATTTTTTTGTTAATACAATTTAAATAAAGTTAAGTAATATATTTTTATTATTACTTGTTATTATTCCTCAAGAGCATCGTATATATGAAGAGTATGAGCGATCAATGTGAAATAATTTAGAGTTTTTGAACAAATATTATCTTGTACCAACCTTTGATTAATAAAAAAAATAAAGAATGTTTAACACGATCTAGATCGAAGTAATTTAATCAAACACCGTTGAGCAAGATGCCATAATTATTTTGGTTTTGTTGAAAATTCAAAATCCTTCCGGGGGACAATAATCTCATAATACTGAATAGATGATGATGAAGCTACTGCCTTACTGTTTTAAACATCAGCCAGAATCCCATTTTTATAATCTTATTTTTACTGATAGTTTAGGGTTGAAAAACTCCCAACACGAAGAAACGAGTAATGAATTACGAGTGAAACGTGCAGGCCAATCCCAGATTTCCAGCTTACAAACATACCCCGAATTGATGCAACTTTCCCAGATTGGGTCACGGGAAACCGATTCATTAGAATTAATGGAATAAGATTATAAATGTTGAGGGTAAAAGACCACAGGCAAGCCAAGTTCATGCTATAAATGGAATAAGTACGGCTGTTCTGAAAATTTTGATGCAGGTAAAGGTACATTTGTTACAGTTTTTCATCAGAAAATGTTGACAACTTGGAAGCAATAAAACATGAACTAACACCGTTAAAAGTATACAAGGCAAAAGCAAAGGTGAAAAGTGGCCAGGTCACCTGCCGAAACAGCTAGTAACTGAAGACGTAAGAGCCGATGTGAGAAATTTCAACCCAGCAGATCCACCAGGGAAGTAAGAAACAGCATAGTATGCAAGTGCAAGGACCTACAAGTTTCACGGAAACGGCAAGAAAATTGATATCAAAACTGGATGATCATGCGGGCAGCTCATAATTCGATAAACCTAACAAGTTTAAGATAAAATAACCGAACCAAAATGACAGGTGTAGTATACCTGTAACACAGAAAAGAGAACGGAAAGGATGTAGCTGTGAAGCACCATGGAAACATAGATGGTACCCACCATACTCCCAATAAAAACCAGAGTAAAAGGAAGCCTCTGCAGCAATGGTGTGAAAAAAAGAAATAACATATTAGATGCACAAAATCAAACTAGATGATTGTTAACTTTTCTAGCACTCAGATTGCTGACGAAAACAAGGGGGAAAAATCAAAGTATATCATAAATACCTCTTTTGATGACATGTGGGCTAACTGATTCTTTGGCCCTCTAAGAGCAAAGAATGATCCAATGATAAACCCACATCCAAGAGTAAAGCAGATAGCAAATTTCTGTGGCATGATCACCATGACTGGAAGAAACATGGTAAAAGCGATGAAAACGAAAAAGACTCCACTCGCCAGAAATAAACCAAAATAGACAAGCGCTTTTCCTGAAGGAACACTGCTCGTGGCAGATTGGAAGTTCCCGGGAATATCTCTCACCCCTTTTGAAACACTGGAGCACCAAGAACCAAACCAAATATGAATTAACAGGATAAAAGCATGATCTTAGGCCTTGTACCTATATGTTTTTATTGAACTTCTAATGGGAGAAAAACAACTTTGCACGAGCTTTTGTTCAAAGATCCCACAACAATTGCTCTTGCACCACTATAGGGTTTAGGGTATTCCAATATGTATTAGTGGTATAAATATAACTGGGTAGTTAAAAGAGAGAGGAAGACGAGAACCAAGTATAGCTAGCGAATTGGAAGTGCAAGAGTCGATTTTACTAAACCCTGATCTAGCTAGGAGTCTCGAACCAAGATCTAAAATACCAAATTATTTCTTCTTAACCGATGTGGTCTTAATGCCCTCCTCTACCCATCTTCAATCCTTCTATGCTAAATCAAATCAATTTTTAGCATAGCATCTTAGATACATAAGTGTGTATATTAAATACAAATTCATTTACACACATCTATCATGCAAAGAGGTGACTGCTACAAAATCAAAAGTCTAACAGACCCCAATTTTGAATGGCATTCACATACTAAATCATAAAATTAACAGTGAATCATCAAAAAACCATAATTCAACAATCAATTTTAGTAACATTCAACGATGGCACTGCGGGTTTTATTACTAAATCAACGTACTTGAAAATCCGAAAATCTTAAAGCCCTAATTCCCATAAAATCAAATACACAACACCTATAAGCCAAATCGAATCAACTAGTAAATCTCATAAACAAAATGTTCAATCAAATCCCATACGAAACCGTAAAAAACACGTTAAAATCGAAACTTTATTAAAATTTCCCAGATCAAGAAGAGTGGGACGCTGGCTTACACATTGAAGGTACCAGTGACGGTATCATTGGCAGACCTCATAGCAGACTCAAGATCAAACCCAAACGCAGTGCCCTCATCTGATTCTCTTGAAGCTGCATACGAATTCCAATCTGCTAAAAGCGAGGATCCTTCTTTTCCCTGATCCTCAACCACACTACTGCCCCCCGAGAACCAAGCTTGCATTTTTTTTTAAAAAAATTAACTGCTTTCTTCGAAGAAAAAAAGAGCTCTAAGATTCACCCTTTTCTTCTTGGGGTTTTTGTTTCTTGTTTTATGGATTATTTAAGGCTTAACCACCAGGGAGTGGTGAGGTAGCCGTATGAGAATAACTGCCCTTTTGGCTATGGGAGCTTACGAATGAAAAAAAAAATGTTTCTTCGTTGTAGTTTGACAAGGCAACGGTGACGTTTTGGAAAAGTCTGTTGGTATTTATTTAGTGCCCTTAAATGCACTCGAAGCAGTATTTTTTATATGTTATAATAATAAAAATATCAAGTAAGATCAGATTTGTTAAATTAATTTATTTAATTATTAAAAATATAAAATTATGTTTGTATTAATGTTTTCCACAAGTAAATTAAAATAAAAAAATTAAATTAGATCCGTATTAAATGAAATGAATATTTCAACCTTTTTCCAGGGAATGCATAGCTCAAATTTTGGACAGATTCTATAGCTTCTCCCACCAATTCCTTCCCATTAACTGTCAAAACTGAAGCTCTCGTGTTTCCTCCCAAAATTTCTTTCAAGCTTTCTCTAGAGCTACATCTCTCTCTTTCTCCACAAGAAAAAAAAATTCTATCTCAAATCTCAAGAATTAATGTCGGTATGTAAATATATATATATATATATATTAAAAAGCTTTGATTTGATTTCTTTTATTTTAGATGGATTTAACCCTTGGTTTGTTTTGATTCATACCTTTTTTGGGTTTGTGATTCATGATTTCCCGTCTTTTTCCTTTAAAAAAAGAATCAATCTTTGATCAAGTTTTGTTTGTCTGGGAATTCCTTTTGAACTCTTGTTTTGTTTAACTTATAGATTGTATAGCATTTGAGGTGATTATACTCAATTGCAACTTTGAAAAAAGAAGAAAATAGATCTATATGGAATGAAAATGGGATGCATTAAGCTAATGGGTGATTTGTTTTGGCCTGTTTTTAGAGTCTTCGTCTTAATAAGAATCAGAAAGTTTTTACTTTCAAATAATGTATCACTAATTTTGAGTGGAAAATATTGTTTTTGATTTGTCATTGAAGCCTGCATAGGATCATGATAAGGTTCTTGATGACACATTTAGAGTCAGGGTGTTCATTTGGAAATTTAGATATGTATTTCATTTGATATGTAGTCTGTAACAGAGAAATGCATATAAATACACTATTAATAAAATATAAATTCTGGAATTTAGTTCCTTAAATGATGGCTTGAAATTAGATTTTGTTGGAGTTTTTAGTGTAAATTATCCAACCCTAGGTAATTATTAATTAGACTTCTTTATGGGATCTTGGCAATGTTTTATTTTTATGTTCTTTTAAAAATAAAAGCTGTTTGGATATTCATGACTTGCTATCATTTTGAGTGTTAGTTTATGTCACTTGAAGTTTGACAATTTGGCAGGTTCCTTTCTTATCTTTGTTTGAACTTTGAAGATATAAGACGAGCTTTTCATTGTATCTTCCAAAAATGTGACGATTTCAAGTTTCCTTGTTTGTTTTGTACTTTTTATTAATGTCATATGCTTTTATGCAGTCTTCTTTTATCTCCTTTAATGGTCATTATGAATAGCTGCAATCAAGTATTCTCATTTGAAGGGCTCTGGTTTAGCTGATGTTTCTCAAATTCATATACGAATGTAGGATACAAATACGTTCAAATCTTAAATTCATTCTTTTATATATTTAAAGGGTCCTCCGAGTGTCATATCCCCATACAGCCATACCATGTATGACTATGACTGTTCTATTTGACATATTCTATTGAAAGAAATAGTGATCAAGGTGAACTTTTGTGGTCCTGGACCAGGTTTCTTTTTGTATGCTTTTTGTAAGTGATCAATAACGAGCTTTTAAAACTTTTTTTTTGAGTTTCTGTGTTCGACTTGTGTCTGAAATCCGACTAACATAGATTTAAACTGCATTGTCTATTTAGGCTCAGTGAGTTAACCTGCTCAGCTGAATTCACTTTGTTTGTTCTCAATGTTGTAAAGCATGTCGATTGATTTTCAGTTGTTAAAATGGAAGGAAATTTGTTTCAAGCTGAAGCTGAAGTTTTGCAAATGATGGCATTTAGGGATTCAGATAAGGTTCATATCCTAACGGTAAACATTGAAGAGTGGTCTATAGTATACTCTAATTCCTTCTAACAGCTTTTCGAGTTTAAGAACCATTTTTACTGTAGGATTTCTTCCTTGTTGAATGTGGAAAAATTGTTTTGTCCAAGCTGGGAATCGATCTGTATGCTTATTTGGAGAACTCGTAGAACTAGCAAATAGTGACCAACTTGGTATGATGTATGATTGAGCATGCTGTAGCTATAGGCTGCTTTGGGAACCTTAGACACATTCTAATTTTCTTTTTGGTTAGGATGTTAATGGGAGCATTTTACTTTTCTGTTTGCCTAGGACGAAAACAAGGGTCGGCCATTGCCGAAATTCGGTGAATGGGATGTCAACGATCCAGCATCAGCCGAAGGGTTTACCGTGATCTTTAACAAGGCAAGAGACGAGAAGAAAACTGGCGGCAAAACCGAGCCAGCAGCAAACGCTGATGCTAATAGTAAGCCAGGGGCGGATCCTGGAAAACCCCAGCAAGTAAGTAATCCCAAATATGATTCCATCTGAATGCATATACTAGGCATTGGTGAAAATCTATTGTTTCCTGATGATAAATGCCCATTTTTTTCCAGAAAAAGAGTCTCTGCTGCGTGTTGTAAACCGTAGCTGTTCTCGACTTCTATCATGATGTGTCCTCCTTCATTTCAAAAAAAAAAAAAAAAGGCTTTGCTGCGTGCAAGCAACACTGGTGGAATCTTGATGAAGTCCGGCATGTACGCAAGCTTCTGCAAGTATGTCCAAGCCACCACCATATAATTTCTAAACAAAAACCAGATCTGTAGTGATGTTATAAGTCCTGGAATTACTTTTCTTTTGGTGTGTGTGTGGTTTAAAATTTAATTCGCTTATTTGTCAAATGGCTTTCTTTCTTCTCTTCATATGAACAGATATAATTTTATGCGATGCCTTATCAATATGCATATCCGAACATATATATATAAGGATATAATATGATGAAAACATAAAACAAATTGTACATGCTTCAGATAAGACACACTCCTTTCGGGTACCCACATCGAAACCCGAGTATCCGATTAACATGGAGTAAATGTTTTCTAGTAAACCGACTTTGAAGGTGATGTGAGCACGTAAGGTTCGAACTTCAAAGGCTTCGGTGAAGAACATTAGACGACACGCTTTATATGGTCCCGCTTATCCAAATTTGACCAAAGTTCTTATTTGATCAAGTCTGAATTTGGTGCAATGAATCCTCGTATCCAAACTAATGTATCCAACCATGATTCAGGTCAACATTATAACGTTAAACCAAAATTTTGGATAGTTACATTAAGAACCTTTACTATTTCATCTTATTGTAGAAAATGACTTCTAACATAAGGTTTGTATTAAACCAGCCTGTTCTTGAATAAAGCTTTTTTATTATGAGGGAGAGAGGCCCCGGGGCCTAGAAACTAAGGGACTAACAAGTTTGCAGTAAATCTTGATTAAATTTTGTTAGAAGATTATGAATATATATATATATATATATATATATATATTCACTATAAATATGGATTTAATCTATTAAATAAATACGAGAATAAGTGGGTGACCAAATAAATAGTTTACCCTAAATGAATCAATTTAGTTCATTTCTTATATCAATTGGTTTAAATTATTTTTACTATTAAATAAATTAATTTAATCTATATTAGTAAAAGAAAAAAAAACAAAATTTTATATATTTAACACTTATTATTTTAAAACATTTCATTTGAAGTATCATAAACAAAAGATATAAAAAAACAAAATTTCATTCACAATTTAACTCTAAACAAAATATTTCATTTGGATCATAAAAACAATGAATAAATTGACCTTATCAAATAGTAAATGACATTTTTAAGTAATAAATGTTAACTTTTTTAAAAAATAGTTTATTCGATTCTTTTACAGTAAAGATATTAAATTGAAAATATTTAAATAGTAGAGACTAACCGAAACCTGTTTATAATAGAGGAATTAATTGAATAGTAGAAGTAATAAATTGATCAATTTGACAGTGACTAAATTGATACATTCATTATAATAGAGGTAGCGGATAGATACTTTTCCCTGATATTTTAAAGCTTCATAATCTACATCATATTACACAAATCCCCCTTTCGTACTAATCGAAGTTACAGCCCGCAGAAAAACGAACTCGGGGCTGGGCAACTACAGAAGAAAAGAGCGGCTTCGACTATGCTAGCGGTTGTTCAATTGTTATTTTGACCCTTCTTTTCAAAATTTTCCTAGGTTTTTTCCTATTCGGTTTCAATTTGGGTTTTTTTCCCTAATTTTTTCCTTTAAAGGTAAATTTCCCCCCTCTATTATTTACTCTCTTGTTTGTTGGTCCTATTCTGGGTTTGAGTTTGTTTGCTTTCGTTCGTTGAATTTAGAATTCATTTTCAATCTTAGAATGATTTTGAACCTTTCAGGTTTGGGTTTTAGGTTCTAATTTGTTTTCAAAACGCTGACTTCTTGGTCAACGACATGGTTGTCTTTAGGTTTGAAAGGTGTATATGCATGCTTAGAAATTTTGGAAACTGTTTTAGTGAAATAAAGAAAATGGAATAGAGAACTTTTTTTTGGGTTTAGGGACTGCATTTGTAAGTTTCATCTCCATAAGTCTGTTGAATATTGCAAGGTTGAAGCTTTTAGCAATGGCTGGTTTGAGTAGCAATAGCGTGTAATTCCTTTTAATTGTGTCCCCCTCCCCCCAATTTTATGTTTTAGTGAAAATAAGAACATGGGAATGATGAAAATGGAGTAGAACTTTATTTTTTTGGAGATTAGTTTTGGGAGCACTAATAAGTTTCAGTTCCATGTAAGTGATAAGTCTTGAATTGTTGTAACTTTCTTTGGCTATGGCTGGTTCAAAGAACTTGGGGGAGAATTCACTAACTGTAGTTGTCTTCTTTCTTTGTTTTTTTTTGGTGGGTGGGGAGCTATTCTGGCTCACTTGGATGTTGAAATACAATTCTGTAGTTATATAATGGGGATGAATCGCATGTTTAATACCAAATATGCTCTTTAGTATTTAGTCATACAGTGTTTAGTGTTTACTGCTAGGAATTTTAACATGACACAAGGCGAGGGAGAAGCATTATGCACTGTTGAACAGGTTGGTCTCCTTATCCTAATTGAACATTAGATTTTCATATCATAACTCCTTTTCTTCTGGTTGCCCCTTGACTTTTAAAAAATAAAATAAATCCAGACATTTTGGTTCTGTGTTTTAACCTAGAACAAAGAAGGTTGAGTCCATTGGGTTCTCAGAGGTGTTTTGCTTTATGAGCAGGCAATTGACTTGATTTCAGTGGTTAAGGAGATTCATGGGCTTAACTCACAGGAGCTTAATAAGTTGCTGAGAGACTCTGAAAATTTCACCATTCACTTGTTACTGAAAAGGGATTAGAAGTAAAGGTACAACCTCATGTCTTCATCTCATTACAGTTATGGTTTCATTCTTCTTTTCCAATGAAACATCTCATGTTGAATTGTTTTGTCTTTCAGATTGATGTGGAAAAACTTGCAGGATTTCTTCCTTTGCATCTTATTGCAGTGCTTGTGTCATCTGATAGAGATGAAGCTCTTCTCAGATATTTATTATGTGGCATCCGGCTCTTGCATTCCTTGTGTGAATTGGCCCCTCGCCATACTAAACTTGAGCAGGTTGCTCTTAAAAATAAACATATGGTTATTTACTATTCTAATAATTTTATTTATCCTTTTGTTCTATTATTTTCTTAGTTTCTTGAGTTAACAAGGACTTGAAACTAGTTGAAAAAGTTCTGACATCAAAATGAAGGTGGGTATAGAGATACTTCAGTGTAGGATAAATAATCACTGCTCACTGTAAACTGCCTTCATCTTATACATTTCAATGTTTGGACTTTGAAATTAGTTATAAGATTGGAAATTGTACTGTAGGATATATAAGCTTACTCCTTAACTTTAAACTGTCCTTCTGTTATTTCAGCCCATATTATGGACTTTGGAGTTAGTTATAAGATTGCAAATGCTTTTTAGATATAACCTGGGGAACAACCCCTTTTCTGCTTCCAGTGACTGTAATGCTTAATAGCAAGTGTTGCCAATACCTTGAGATCCCCGTACATCCTTAATTAGATCTAGAATGGGTTTGAAACATCTTGAAAACTTCTGAGGATTTGAAGTCTAATCTGAGCCTTTGCTCTATGAAAGTCCTTAATTTAAATCACCGCTGCAGTTATTACGGATGGTACCTGCTTAATTGCATTAGCTACTTCTCTATCCTACAACTTATTCTGGTGCTATGAATGTCCTTTTTGAATTGGATTTTCAGTTTTCTCTTTTCATCAGCAAATCTACTACACAACAACACAGCAAGTCTTGATGATTTCTGGTATAACGTGAGTTTTCTTTCTCCTAATCATTTTCCTTTTATAACATTTACAGGTTCTGCTTGATGATGTAAAAATATCAGAGCAGCTGATTGATCTGGTCTTTTATGTGCTGATTGTTCTCAATGATTATAGACAGGTTCCTTTTTATCCTTTCCTTCATGTCTTATCTTCAATATATCCTTTTATTTATTTCATATATTCAATGGATTTATTTTTATCTTTATTCAAACATATTACATGCTTCATTTTGTAGGACATCCATGATTCAGGTCCTGTGCCAGTTTTGCATTCAGCACTTGTGGCATGCAGCCTGTATCTGTTGACTGGATGTATATCTTCACAGTGGCAAGATCTGGCTCTTGTGATGGTAGCACATCCTAAGGTATCTCTTAGTTAACATTATTATGAACTGATTTCGAGGGAAAATGATATGTGTTACCTAAAGTTATTTATGGAATAATTATGCATGCTATTTCTCTTTTTTTTTTTTTATGAACTTGTATTCTTTACATGTCTCTTCCTTAGCAATTCTTGACAATACTAGTCTTAACGAGTTCTTCATTCTATCATGTCTGTTGACTGTTGTAGTGATCCAAATTCGATTTCAGGTTGACATGTTTATGGATGTAGCTTGCAGAGCAATTCATCTTGTTGTCAGGTTTCTCCAAAACAAGCTGCTTGCTCAGCATACTGATATTTGTGCCAAGTCTAGTCCCACTTCTGAATCAATGGTTAACTATCTTTGCCAACAATGTGAGGCTTCTTTACAGTTCCTTCAATTATTGTGCCAGCAAAAACCGTTTCGGGAACGCTTGCTGATGAATAAGGTTTGCATACTAGCATTTCATTTATCTGTTCATCTGGCATAATGTAATGTATTGAGAGATACTGCCCTCACAAAATAATCTATTTTGATCATAACGTTTAATTACATACTAGCAATTTCTTGTGAAAAACAAGAGAGGAAGATTGCTAGTGAAAAGAAGCTGAGATCTGAAATGTCATAATTTTCATTTAGGTGGTAAAGAAATGGTTTCAATAAAGCAACCCATAATTTGTCAATAATTGTATGGTAGATCTTTACGAGATTGCTGTGAAGGTTTGAGCCCTATTGACTCTACTTATTTAGAGTATTATTGTGATCTACTGGGATTTATTGCATTTTAATCAGACCAATGTTTTTAGTAATAAAATTTGAGGCACTCTTTTCCTCATTCCGCTGATTATGGAACATCTTAGGGTGTTTTAGTAATCATGAAGGGGTTTTTTAACTAGGCCTCCACATTTTATCAAAAAAAAAAAAAATCAGACCAATGGGATTTCATCTTTGGTATTTGTTCAGGAACTATGTGGAAAAGGTGGTATTCTTTTTCTGGCTCAATCCATCTTGAAGTTACATGCACCAAATTTTGTAGAATCCTCCTCAATCATGGCTGCATTATCTAGGCTGAAAGCTAAAGTCCTTTCAATCGTAAGTCCTAGGCCTGGGTATTTGTTTTGTCCATACATGCTGAGGTTTAAGATTCTTCACAATCTTCTGCAGCTCCTTTTTAATATGGCACTAATGTAATGAAGTGTCCTGTTTATGCAGTTATTGCATTTGTGTGAAGCAGAAAGCATTTCTTACCTTGATGAGGTTGCCAGCTCTCCTGGAAGCCTGGATTTGGCAAAATCTGTTGCACTCGAGGTTAATGTTTTGTTGGTTATGGAAGTTCTATTTTTTGGCTAGAGAATTACACTCAAAGTTGTTTACCTGGATGCTTGTCTTTAATACAATAATTATAATGAAGCAGGTCCTTGAGTTGTTGAAGAGTGGGCTTGGTAAAAATCCCAAACATCTCACTGCTAGTTCTGATAGAACCCATCCTTTGGGGCTTCTTCAACTTAATGCAATGCGTCTAGCTGATATCTTCTCTGACGATTCAAACTTTCGATCGTACATCAATGTGAACTTTGTAAGTTATTATAGGTTCAAACCTTAGAATTTTGTTAATTTGATTTTTTGAAGAATTGCTACATCAGTTCTTCTGTGACCACTGACAGAATGTTACTTTCAAACATATCATAGTTATAACTTCTCTTTTACTATTTTCCCCCAAAAAAATTTACATTATTCCCTGCGGAAAAAAACCTTATAAACTTTTGTGGCAAAATATTCTAAACTTTTGCTGGATTTTCATGTAAATTAGATATATTTTTGTTCTATTATTCCTTTTTTGAATCCTTTATGGTAAGATTTATGGCCTGCTTCTTTTATGTTCCTTCAGACTGAATTTTTGAGTGCAATATTTTCACTCTCTCACGGAGATTTTCTATCCATGTGGTGTTCTGCTGATCTCCCTGTAAGAGAAGAAGATGGTACCTTGTATTTTGAAGTATTTGCTGCTGCTGGATGGGCTTTAGATTCAGTTTCATCGCCTGATATATCAAACACAACAAATCTGGAATTCACTTTTATCCCCAACAACATGTCTCAGGCTTCCGATGTACATCAAAGAACATCTTTATTTGTCAAAATAATTGCAAATCTTCATTGTTTCGTTCCCAACATCTGCGAAGGTACATTTCCACCTGAAGGATGGCAGGTTCTATACGAGATCTGTGCTATTCCTTTTTCTTAATGAAAGAGAGGGTTAAACACCCTGATTGTGCTATTATTTTTATGTTAATTGAATTATCTGTTTCAATCCACAGAGCAGGAGAGGAATCTCTTCCTTCATAAATTTCTTGGGTGCTTGCAAATGGATCCATCTAAGCTATTGCCGAGTTATGTCTTCATCTCTGGTCCACAAAAAGCTGCTGCTGTTTGTAGGAACCTGCGTAAGTATCTTGTTGAACTTGGTTTCCCTTTTCCTCCAAGAATGACAACGTTGCAAAATTTTCTCTTGTTTCTTATGAGTAACCTGTTTATGTAGGTTCCCTGTTAAGTCACGCTGAATCTTTGATTCCAACTTTACTGAATGAGGATGATCTGCAGCTCTTGAGGTGCTATGTAGTTCAGTTTTTATTTATGAAATTCCAGCAAAGTTCAGAATTTAGTAACAGTTTTTACTATATTATCCCTTCCTGTATAAACAAGTAGTGCCTTCTTGAAACTCTACCACCAAAATGTTTGAATAACCACACTCAACAGATGGGTGTTCATAGCAACTAAACATTAATACGATGCTCTTTGAATGTGGCCTTCTTTTTCATATGATACCATGAAAGATATATATATATATTTATATATTTTTGTAAAACATCCTTGAAAAAGTTGTTTCTACAATTTTAATTGACTATTACTGCCCTCTTCTCTTTTTGAGTTAATTTATTGATTTCTCTTCTTAAACACTTTTTATATTTTTTTCAGGGTATTCTTTGATCAATTACAGTCACTGATAACTCATTCTGAATTTGAAGAAAACAGAGTAAAGGTAAACCACCTTTATCTTATAAATGATTAATATAATATTCCTATCTCCAATCCCTCTTGTTGTGGTTGGTATTTATCTCCTTATTCTGTTATACCTTTTTTTTTTCATTTTACAATATCTTTAATAGCCAACACTCAGCAACGTTTTATAACTGATAGGAGGATCGAAGTGTAGGGGGTTGCTTGTCTCCTTTACAAAGAATAGAGCCTCCAAATCTTAATAATCGAAATGGTAACCTGAAGGAAGAAATGTCTGAGAATTCTACTTTCCAAGAAGATCAGTTTTATGTCAGAAACAATCATATGGATCAAACTGATGGTTTAACAAGGGAATACATGATGGATGATAAGTATAAATCTGTTACGCCCAGTGTCTTGAGAGAGACTGACAGAGACATGCCAAACGCTGAAACAAGTGGGTCAGATACAAGTTCCACAAAGGGAAAAAATGCTGTTGATAAATTAGTAGAGCGCCACAGAGAAAGTACAAATGCAGATGTTCAAGAATATGAAAAAGTTGAAACTATTCAAACTGAAGAAAAGCATCGAAGGAAAAGAAAGCGAACTATAATGAATGACGAACAGGTGGCAATAATAGAAAGGGTCCTTCTGGATGAACCTGAAATGCAAAGAAATACTGCTTTGATACAATCTTGGGCTGATAAATTAAGTCATCATGTATGTAAAATAGATCTAGTTATGTATTTTTGACCCATGCTAATTTAGTTATTCATTTCAAATAACATGCTTCTTCTACATTCGTTTCTCAGGGCTCAGAGGTTACATGTTCACAGCTAAGGAACTGGTAAGGAAGACACCTCTTTCTGAAGTATTTTACATGCTAATAGTTCTTGAAACCATTCTGATATCATGAAAGTAGATTCTTTAATGATAAAAACAAAGAATCGGGGAAAAACAAAACAAAGAAAGCTTATAATAATTGGTATGTTTTGGATGTTCTTTTAGAGTTTAGAGTTTTCCCCCTAGAATTTGATAAGTTAAAATGAAATGAGTGTTTTGCTGCTTTAAAGGCACAATTGGAATAACTAGTGATTATTGGCTAATATATCAGGTGATCAACATATTTTTTAGCACCTTCTATAGGTCCTATTGGTTATTGTGTGAAACTTTTTGTGTTGCTGCCATCAGGCTCAACAATCGGAAGGCCAGGCTTGCACGCCTAAGTAAGGATGCTCGTCCTCCTCCAGAGCCTGACAATGCTTTTGCAGGAAAGCAAGGTGGGCCACAACAAGGTCATTCACTAAACGCTCCTGATAGTCCTGGTCAAGAGACTGCTCCCTCAAATACCAGAGGCACTCGAAGCATGTCAAGATTGAGCAGCAGCGAAAACCCAGCAACTACAGAATTTGTTGATTATGGTACGGCAGAATTTGTTCAGTGTAAGCCTGGTCAGTTTGTAGTGCTTGTAGATGAAAGAGGTCAGGAGATTGGTAAGGGAAAAGTACATCAGGTGCAAGGTAAATGGTACGAAAAGAGCTTGGAGGAATTGGGAACATGTGTTGTCGATGTGGTTGACCTAAAGGCTGATAGGTGTGTGAAGCTACCCTATCCATCTGAACCCACAGGTACCTCATTTGAAGATGCTGAAAAAAAGCTTGGGGTAATGAGAGTTATGTGGGATTCAAACAAAATATTCATGTTACGACCTCAATAAATTAGTCTGTTGATTTTTTTTTGTTCTCTTGCCACCGGCAATTAACTATAACTTATAAGCTGGTTTAGCTTTGATCTATCAAGCTCGTAAGGTAACACATTTCATGTTTTAGGAAACATACCCTACAACCTTAAGTCGGCTAGGCAGGAAATTAGGAACTTGGAAGGTGGACTTATCTTTTGATATGCTAACCTATGTTATTGGATTGGGGTGTGACTGTCAGATATGAATGTTTTGACATGGCCAGGTTAAATTTGTTGAATATAGTTGGAATCAGATATGGAGTTTTAGCAATGCAGATAGATGCCAGCTAGTTATGAAACCAAATTTGATTAAAGAATCTGAACTCAAGTTATGAGGGGTTCCTTCTATCCTTTTTCCTCTTTTCACATCTCATCAAGTAGATAATTCTAATGATCGTTGAAATGGCAGTCGCCCAGTTTCTTTTAAAATTCAATGGTGAAATTTGAAGTTACAGCTGCATATATTATGTCTGAAGTCTGAACTGCTTTGGTATCCTTAGGCTTGGGTCCATTACAGGTCACACAAACTGGTTGCAGCACAATGAGATTGAAGATTGGTGATTCATTTTGAGTAATTTGAGGCATTCATGGCTGTTATTGCTGCCCCCACAACCACTCAGGGGGGACAAAAGGGCTTTAAACATTGATGTCTCACTCTGACTTTGGGTTAGAATTTTTGAGTAATAATTTCACTAGTTAAGTGGATTTTTGACTTTAAAGGACTGAAATGGTTTAAATGTATAGTTTAAGGACCCAATTGAATATAAATTTTAATTATTAAGGATTGAATTTAAACAAAATGTGGAACTCATTATTCTTATACTTTTACATCCATAATGCAATAATAGTCATGAAAGTGGCTCACTGAAACGAATATCAAATTTGCGTCCAAGAGAGCAAAAAGGAAAAATGAGTGAATTGAAAATTTTGGGATCCAATGATTGTCAACAATGAAGGTTGATGGAGATCGACAATAATGGTGGTTAGTGACAACAGACGATAAGAGATTTTAGTCGAATTTAAAAGTCAATAATATTTTATCTAAAGTTTAAGGTTAAATTAACTCAATTTGACCAATATACTATGCAATCAAACTAAAATGAGTTAATGACTTAATAACTAAAATGTAACGATTAATAATGTGGATAATCAGAATTTAACAGATCGATAACATAAGTGATGGAGCATAAGTTTTTTAAATTTGATGAGAAAAAAATGCACAAATATAAAAGAAAAAGTGCCAATCGCATAATTAACCCATTCTTCTTATACTTTCACTTCCATTATGCAATAATAGAGTCATGAAATTGGTGCCATGCATATCTTGATTCTTCATTAACATGTATGTATTCCCTTTTATTTGTGTTATAATTCGTGAAGGACCATTTTGCTATCTATTTTTATTTATTTATTTATATTTAATTTATTAATGGATTAATTTAAATTTATATTTTTTATTATCTATCTTTAATATCTATATATAATATAATATTAATTTGTTTTTGTAATTAGGTACCTATTTTTATAACATGATCGGATATATAATTTTTAATTTTTTATATAACTAAGTAACTAGTAAAATTTTAAATTATACATTTTATGTTCAGAATTTCAACCCTGAATTTCTTAGATTCATATTTCTCTAGTTAAATAATATTTAAATTAAAAATATAAATCAATTAGAATTTAAAATGAATAATTAAGTATTCAATTATAAAAATTAAAATACTCAATTGCATTATTAAAATAAATTAATTACTCAGTTGCATGAAAAATTGAACATCATATTGTCCATAAATGTTCAATTCCTTGTTTAAATCTCAGATATTAAAGAATTAATTTTTTAAAAATAAGAAATTAGGTTTTCATTAAATAAACAACTAAGATATAACAAAAGCAATAAAATCTTAACATGAAAATTTAAACGTCATGAAAAAACATAAAACTAAAACTTTCTCTCGAATACATTCTCTATCTTCCCCAAAAAAAAAAAAGCAACTATTGTCTTTATTCAAAATTAGATGCAATACTGATGTAGGCATGAAGATTAAAAGAACTGATATGAAAAAATTATTCTGCAAATGATTTCAAATGCATCGACAAACTGTTACAAAAGGGATCTAATCATACAAGACATTTTTTTTTTCTGATCATAAGGTGCGTTGTAATACAACATCAACCGTCAAACTATAAATAAAAAAAATAAATTATAAATTTATTTATCATAGTTTACTTAAAATCATCTTTGTTATAGTTGTGTAACGTTTTTAGTTTAGGTAGAACTTCATTATTTTAGTTATTCCTATTTAATATTAAATTTATTTTTTAATTTGTATAAAATATTATTTTTTAAATTTATTAATCATAAATTGATGAAGAGATGTGTATAATAAAAATTATCTAATGATCATTATAGTTAATCATTAATTGGAGTAAATATATTTGGTCGGTTGATTAAACTGTTTATCTTTATTCCTTCATACTTTTATTTAATCAAATCATATTCTTTTAATAAATTTAAGAAATGTAGTTTTTGAAATATTAAATATTTTAAAATAGATATATTAAATGGATTTTATTTATTATTTAAAGTTTGATTTGAGATAGCACATACATAGTTAAAAATTAAAATTTATATAATTATTAATTGTTAAAATTATATATTTTAACCCATTTTATTTCAATTGGACGGATAATATGGAATTTATTTATATATTGGAGAATTGAATTGAATTGAATCGCATCGCATCCCTCACACCACACGCAGCAGCCATCAGCACAATTTTTTTATTATTGTGTTTATTTCAACAACCGGCTCAATTATTAAACACGTATAACAAGGGAGGCAAATTATCAAGTGTACAAGGTAGAGGCAAAGACCAGATAAAAGAACCGAACCAAACCGACGGCAACCTCTCCCCTCCGCCGAGTTCCGGTCTTCTCCCTCATCCTAATCCTTTATTTTTCTTTAATTCTTCCTCACTTTTCAATCAATCAATCAGAGAAGGGGGAACAAGATGTCGATGCGCGAACTGGTAACCGGAGGAGCTGCTTGTGCCGTTCCGGGATCTTCTTCCTCTTCCTCCAATCCTCTTGGTGCTCTCGCCAACGCTCTTATCGGTTCTTCTTCCAAGAACCAGGTCCCTTTCTTTTTTATCTTTATCTCATCTTTATTGTTTTATTCATGACTTTTTTATCCTAATTTCGATGAATTTTATTATTGTGTTCTGAGCAGGGGGTACTGAAGGAGATTCCTAACACTTCAGTTGCCGCTCCCCACGCCCAATTCTATACGCGGACCGATGATCCCGTTGCTGCTCTTCCTGGCTCTGAGCTCGATCGCCCCTTTCTCCAATCTAACGCCCAGGTCCCCTTTCAATCTTTACTATTTCTTCTAATAAAAATGAAAACTAATTTTGGGATACAAGTTTCCGTTGACTGAAATTATTAAACGTTAAAAAAAATACCTTCAGGGTTCTGAGTTCATCAGAGGCTTCCGCGCTGCCGACGCCAATGGATTCGCGGATGCATGGGAAGAGATACAGCGTCAACCTCCCTTTGACCCTACTGCTGGTCCAGCAGCACCGATTCAACCCGCTCTTGATGGTATTCATCCTTTTCATCTTCGTTACATTTTTTGTTTTGTTTTCCTTTTGTTTGGAGGGTGTAAAGAACAAACAAAACGATTCTAGTCTTCTTGTATCATATTTGCTATTGGCTACACTTTAAACTTTGCAACTGTGTTTCAATGGGTATGCTCAATATATGCTTCAAAAGCACGTCAATTAAGGATTTTGACTTCTCTGCCCTTAAACATCAAGAAAACTGTTCTTTCTACATGCTATTCCTTACTCACTACCCTTCTACTGTACTTCAGGACCACCTCAAAGGGTGTTGTCAAGCTTTTTGCACTCATTTGTTGACAGTAGCCGAAGTGGAATTCCTTTACATCCCACTCCACTTCCTCTGTTAGGATTGTCTCAAGGTGATAAACAGTGCATACGTGATCGTAGCAGCATAATGGCCCGTCACATTTTTGCTGATAGGAGTGAAGAATTTATCAATTCTCAGGTTTTCTGTCCTTTGTTTGATTGGCACTACATGGTGTTATCTGTTACGAAATTACACTTATGATTTGATACCTCGTTTTTCATTTTGCTTGTAAAATGTTTCCAGGTAAATGCACTCTTGAGTTCCTTGGAAATAGAAAATGATATCCATGCCAGGGGACCCATGCCTGGGAGGTTTAGAGAGCTGGAGGACTACTGGAATGAATCCCAAGGTGTCATGAAGCCTGTTGCTCATCCTGCAGATGGATGGGTTACTGAATTCAGCCAAAACAGAATACACCATGATGGTCCGGATGCCTGGGCTCACTCATTTGAACAACAGCATGGTGCTGGTGGTTGGGCCTCTGAATTTGAGCAGGTAGGAAAGCGGCATCTCCTTTACAATAAATGAAAACTGGTTATAATTTTGTTTTGGAGTGAATGGATGTTATTGTAGCTTGCTTGAATGCATGGATCGGTTTTTGTAGCAACATAAAACTTGGTGCTTCTAGGTGAAGCTGATAGGTAGGTTCTTTCATTAACCAAATTAAAATCTCTTCCTAAAAGGGTATATTGTTGGTTGTCAATTACTGAGTTACCATAAAACACATTATAGTCTTCATCCTCATAGCTATTCTATTTCCTATCTTCTGGACTATATTTCTTTCTTTTTGTTCTATGCAGATGGATATATGTTCCTTTTTTACTTTAGCTTTCCTTTTCGTTCTGCTACTATCTTGTGCTTTGAGTAGTCTTCGTTTGCGTGTCTTCTTTTATAACACAATTAATGAGCTATAACATACAGGAACAAGCTCAGTTAACATCTGCAGATCAAATGAGAGGGGGAAATATGGGAAATTTGGCTGCAATTCAGCAGACTAGAATGCTTGTACATACACTCTCTCAAAATAGTGATCCTAAGTTCCAGGTTATTTAAAACTGTTTGGCTAAAATACATGCAATGTCTTAAGATAGCTCTTAATAATATGATCGTTGCCATGCATTAGTGAATATATGCACTTATGTTCTGTATGTTTTGGGGCATGCAGAATTCAAAATTTCTTCAATTTGTATCAAAGATGAGTCGTGGTGAACTTATTATTGACGATAATCAGGTCAAACCAGCATCAGAGAACTGGGCAACAGAATATCAGCAACAGTACAATGGGGGTGCTTCTTGGGCTGATGAATTTGCTCAAAATGAGGCAAGTAGAGTTCTTGTGGAAGCTCAAAAAACATTTAGAATAATATTTCCTGATAA